CAAAACATCAATGATTTCCACTTCTTATTACCTTGTAATTTAAAAAAAAATGGGCACAATGTAAGTTGCTTTTGTTACAATTGTTGTGAGTTCACGTGTCTTATTATTGTGATCTATTTGTATAATGAAATGTGCTAGTCAAAATAACACAGTTTTGCAAAAATCACATTATGAACAGGAAATAGTTCCATTCCAAAGAGCAGAAAATAGATCAGAATCAGTACTCGGCTACATCCAAACAAAATTCTGATTGGCAAAACATATGAAAAATAGCAATTTACCTTTTTTAACCGTTTTTGAACTAATGTTAGTTGTATTTAATATGTATACATTTGTTTTTGAAATTATGATTGCAGCTGTATTCTGTTTGTACAACCCATTTTGAACAACGTTTGTCACTATCTCAAATTCAGCTAATAATTTAATATTATAAACTCATTTTGAGTATGTTGATCATTGATATTGATTATTACTTTTAAGAATTAAGAATTGAAACTAGGCATGGGACGATATTTGTTTTCAAGGTATACCACGGTTTGGAAAAGTTTTAAAACTTTCAAAATTTTCTGCCATACTATACTGTGCCTGAGGTGTATGTAAGATTCTTTTATTTATTTATTTATTTTTATTTAAATGTTTTTTTCAGTGGTGGTCTCTTTCTGCTATATCGTTCCTAAAGTATGTGTAAGATTTTTTTTTTATGTTTTTTTTTTATTTCATGACAACAGTATCTCCAGCAGAAAAGATATCCAAAGATGGCGTTTTAAATTGTTTTAAAAAGAATCTGTGTTTTTGAAACAAAAGAAGACAGCAGAAGTCAATAACTCATATTTAGCCAGACATGTTTACTGTTCCAAAATATTTTTAATGTTTCTCAAAATAAAATATATTCTGTTCAAAGGGGGAAATGTTTTTTTTGTTTGTTTGTTTTTTTACCCTAACATTTAAAAAGAACATTTTAGAGCAGTAATCATTATACCATAAAACTGTGATATTTATATCCAAGGTTATCATACCATCAGAATCTTATACCGGTCTATGCCTGCTAGTGCATTTCATAAAAATTTCAAACTGTTTTTGTAAAGAAATCCTACATTGTTATACATTCAAACTACAATTATTTAACAAGAAATACAGATGCTGATTAATGATGAATCTTTTGTTAAATCCCTCATTTGTAAGATTTTGTTTAAAAGTGTCTCCTAAATGACTATATGATGATAAATGTCAATGCAAGTTAATAATTAGTATGTGATTACTCAGTAAAAAAATATTTGTAAATTAGCATTTAGCAATTAGCATTAGCAAATTTCTGTATTTTGTGGTTTATTTTTTCCCTTTTCATTTTTGTTTTGATCTTTCTTGCAACACATTTTTTTAAAGTGACTTTTGTTTAACATTTTAATAGTTTAAAATAATATAATGTCTCGATTAATGTTGTAAATTACAGTACAAAAACCTTGTACTAAGCTACTACAGTTTCTGTTATTTTACAGAATTATTTCTCTAAATTGTATTCTTATACATAATATTATTTCAAACTACTAAACTGTTTTTATACTGCAAAGTTGAATTTTCAACATCAAAAGTCGACAGAGCAGAGATCGGGATCTCATAATGAAATCATAAGCATAAATAAATGAAAAACACTTATGAATCACAAAATATGAAACTGATGGTACTGTCTGTCTTGATGATCGATGACAAAAGTGGTCTGCTGTCATTCAGGTTCAGCTCTTAATTACTAAAGTTATGATAGTTTACCGTTTGATCTGGCAAACAGTAGCAGTATGTTGGTTACACACTTAGCAATTGCAGGTTGTTTTGAACAAGGTGTAAATCAGTCAGTGTTGGTCAAATTGGTCACAGAACATTAAACAATCCCAACTGCATTTGGTATCACTTCATTTTGATGTTCCCTTTAACACATTTTGTTGATTGTAAGTTACATTGCAACTATATGCTATCTTATTCTCAGTAGAGTATTAGTGGACTGTAAGGTATAGTGTAAGTTGAAATGTAGGGCGAGGCAGTGGCGAAGTAGGTAGTGCTGTCGCATCACAGCAAGTAGGTCGCTGGTTTCTGTGTGGAGTTTGCATGTTCTCCCTGCGTTTGCGTGGGTTTCCTCCAGGTGCTCCGGTTTCCCCCACAATCCAAAGACATGCAGTACAGGTAAATTTGGTAGGTTAAATTGTCTGTAGTGTATGAGTGTGTGTGTGAATGTTTCCCAGAGATGGGTTGCGGCTGGAAGGGCATCCGCTGCGTAAAAACTTGCTGGATAAGTTGGTGGTTCATTCCGCTGTGGCGACCCCGGATTAATAAAGGGACTAAGCCAACAAGAAAATGAATGAATGAATGAAGTTGAAATGTACTTGCAAAAATTATAGTCAGGACAATTGGTTGAGCACGCTCAGCAGATATTAAGCAGCATACTCTAATGAGAATTAATTGTTGTAATGTAAATTACAGTCAACAAAATGTGCAATAGGGACTATCAAAACAAAGTGATACCCTCCATTCTGCTTCTGTTCCATAAAACCTGCTCTTTTTGAATGGAGCACAATTAGACACTGGAATGTGGTATAGCATGTTTTATAGCTAAATTGCTCTAACTATGTCAAAACTTGAAAAAAAAAAAGATTATAACATCCAAATGGATCCTAGCATGCAGACAAGTGTTTATAAAAGGGTTTATAAAAGACTACAAACATCTGCCGCCTTTTGAGAATGACTGAATGAACTGAATGTCCTAGTTGTGTGTCACACTGAACAGCTTGTGAATAGAAAAAGCTTCATTCAGCATATAGAGTGAACAGGGCAGATTCCAGAAACTTTTGACCCATTTAAATCAGTAGGAAAACATGGGCATTTAAACTCAACTTCGCTTTTTTTAAACAGATTTTTCTTTAAAGGGGTGGTCTACTACGATATTATATTTAAAACTTTAGTTGATGCGTAATGTAGCTGTGTGAACATAAACAACATCTTTGAATGTAACACGCTCAAAGTTAAATGCAAGGGAGACATTGGCTTTTACAGAATTAGCTTAGCAAAGCCTACAGCGAAAATAATTTGGGGACAACAAAAAAAATACATCCGGGCTAGTGAGATCACATGGGGCTTCATCTCATTCATCTCGCACACATACCCAACGCAGCAATGGTTCATGGCCAGAGGTGCTGTAATGTTAAAGGGTAAATGAAGCACTCGGTCAAGTTTACCTTATTTTGTACATTGGATTCCACTTTAATGAAAATATATTTAATAACTTTGATAAATGTAACCATTTAGAAGAAAACAGCATGTTTTACTATAGATTTAGACCTAGGGCACCGACATCTTGGAATGTCGCTGTGTCTGACGTCACATGGTTGGTTCTGTTCCCTCCACTGAACAGATACTGTACAGTGGAAGTAAAAGAGACTGTAAAGTTTAAAATCTAGGTCTAGGTCTAAAATCTATAGTAAAACATGCCGTTTTCTTCTAAACGGTTACATTAATCGAGTTTGTTTAATATACTTTCATTAAAGTGGAATCTAATGTACAAAATAAGGTAAACCTGACTGAGTGCTACATTTTCCCTTTAAAGCAGTGAAAGCCTAAATGCTGTCCAAATGCTGCTATTTTCACATAGCATGTTTTGTTTCTGTATTTGGGCTTCCATAGGACACGACACAAAGAAAAATAGTTTACAGTTTAATTTTAATTATGTTGCAGAGAATTATATATATATATATATATATATATATATATATATATATATATATATATATATATATATATATATAAAGATAAAGTGCTAGCATTTGACAAAGGAGAACTTCTCTCCTAGTTCAGTGCTGGATTCAGCTAAAAACTCCTCCAACCGACGAAGCTGTGGATTGTGAGCCACAACCTGTAAGTATTTTTATTTGTTAAAATCGATCAACTACAGGCATAGTTTCTAGCGTTAACGGTATGTTATAGGGAGTACGTAAACAAGGATGTAAACAATGCTGTTTGACTGCTATCAGTATAGCTTCAAATTAATATATATTAGTCAAACCCCTGTAAGCAACCACAATATTCAGCAGTGTCTCTCTATGCAGTATCTATCTATGTGACTGATTTCTGTGCATTCTAAATCTCAAATAACAAATTCACAAAAGATATGAGAACATTTCATATTGCACATGCTTGTTCCGAATATATGTGAAAGACACTTGTCAGGTTTTATTTTAGAGAGCAGGCATGTGCTCTTCATATCTTTGCTTACAGCTGCTCTGACTGGACTGTTTACAAAGCATACACTGTTGCCAACTATTTTTAATAAAAAGGCACTAAGCTCTGTCCGAAAAGTCGCTAGATTACACCGTCAATATTCATTTGCATATTACGCACGTCATCACGTTCTATGGTTAATAAAGGGGTATTTATTTTTGCACTACGCTTTATGTATGCATGTAAATTTAACAAAATGTATTGCTGTTTGCATGCAGTGTATCAATATAGATGTGTAGTTAATTTGCAGTAATCTCTCAGATGTAATATTTAGACAAGTTCTGTCACTAAAACATCTGTGATTGTGAACAAGAAAAAAAGAAATGGTCAAATTAAATAGTAAAAATAAAGGAGAAGCAGATCGGTTTGACTGCACAAGGGAAAAACACTCCCTGTGTTAAATCATTTGCTGTCGGTACGCAAAAAAAAGACCTTGCACTTAAAGGGTTGCACATATTAGAATTTTACAGTCAAGACTACATTTGTGAAAATGACCTATTTTTTTAAAAGGATAAATAATGATTTTGAGCTCATGTAACGGAGGCCAGCTACTTACTAGCTGAGTAGCTGAATATAATCAAAGTAAGATATCTGAAAAAAATAACTTGATTTCCAACAAGTGAAGCATGAGAACACAGTGCTTTGCATAAACACAACCAAGTCTAAAAAATACACCCCTTAAAATAATGACATTTTAAAACCCCGAATACAGATTTACAAAAAAAGTAATCAGACTGAAGAAGCCTTTAAAGCCTTTTTATTTGTATTGCTCAGCAGTAAAAAGTACAGTTTTTGTGCTACAAAAAGATTAGACATGATTCATATTATGTGAGAGCGTTTTTTCCTGTCAGCTGAGCAAATACCTCCATCTCCTTACATATATAAAACTCATGCCAGCAAAACAAAGTAATAAAAATAGATGGAAACAATAAAAAAACAAAACAGAAAAGATCATAAAACAACATACATATAAAAAGTCTTGGTAACACTTTTGTTTAGGTCACTATTCATGCTATTAACTACTGGCTTATTGTCGATTATTACCTGTTCATAAGTAGTTATAAAGAATGATTTTGCATTCCTAATCCTACCCAAAACCTAAACACAACTTATATCTTACTAGCTATTAATAATCAGCTAATTAGCAGTTTATTAAGCTCTGAGCGTTCGCTGATAGTTTGTTAATACTGTGAATTGTGACCTAAACTAAAGTGTTACCAAAGTCTGCTAAGCATACAGAACAAAAATAAGATATGTATAAAGGAAAGAGATCACGATATGGTTTTGAAACATTACATTGAACCATCCTCAGCGATGTGTTCAAAGAAAGTACAAAACAAAATAGTTTCTCTGTAAGTCTCTTTATATCTAACAATTACACTCTATTACATCCAGTGATATCATTGACATTCATCTAAAAGTTGTACGATACAGCAGTAAGCAATCGAAGAGAATTTATTTTGGTCTCATTTATTGTTGTCAATGTTCACACAAGAGACAGAGACAGACAGAACCACAAGCACGCTCATTCACGCTTCACTAGGAAAAAAACATATATCTTTTAACAAAATATATATATATTTAGCCAACCTGTGAAGCAATAGTAGTGCCGTTTTCATCAGAGCATGACGTAGCAAATAAACAAACATAGTGGTTTGATATTAATATTAAAAAGAATGCATTTCTAATACAGTTACAGTGTAATGCTTAGCCCTGCTTATGGAGGTTGAACACAAACACATCCAACATATGAACAGTGATAGCATTACCATACAAAGGGCTTTGTATGAGGCATTTCATTGGCGTTTATTCATTCTTTTACACTTGCTTGCAACGGTGTTGACGTGAGCGAATCTTTAGGGTGTTTGTGACAACCAAATCTTCTTGAATGAAATGAAATCCCATTTGATATCTAGCTCAAAGACACACATACACCTCAAATCAGTAAAGATGCATGCAACAAGACATTTACGCACACGGAAACATCTATGGGACAATTGTCATTTTGTATTTTGGCTGGTGACTCATCTAGGGGACAAAGCAGTCATGATTTGTCCTCCATCAAATGCGAACAAAACAAATAAAACTGACTCAAGTTCCTCCAAAAGGGAAGCGAGGGTTGCTGCAGTACCCACTGGACTCATTCCAGAAGCATTCCAGAATCAACGCCCTTTACCCCTCCATCCCCTTACTGAATTCAAGTGCGGCAGGCTTTTTTTTTTGTTTTTTTTTAAGTAATCATATTAAGTGTTTTGGGTAACGTCACACAAGCATCCTTACATGTTTCTCAGCACTCTGCACCACCAAAGCCACTGGAACATAAGAGCAACCACACTGTTTTTATTCAAAAAAGACATAAAAACCCTTATCACAATGAAGCGTCGGTAGAAAATCCACATCAGAAAAATATGCAGGGGCTCCCGCTCATAGTAAATCACATTTGTTCTTTTTTCCTCATATTCTGTCAGCTCCTTGAAACCAGTTTCATACTGTATATAAACTGTAGTCTCTGAATATTCACCACATTTATGTTTATATATATTTATTGGTAGATATATATATATGTATTCTTTAAAAATGCGAGCAAACAAAAGGGACAGAAAAATCGTCAGGGATTTTGTCTCTTTAATATAATGTGTTTAGATATCAGAAGCCTTGTCTCTGTTGATGAAGAGAGTCTCTTGGCAAAACGGGTTCACTAGAACCACACCGCTATCACTGTAGTCACCATTAGGGGGCAGACACGTCTCTTGTTCCTGAAACACAAAACCCAAATGAACGTTAGCACAGTTTACTTGCTTTTAAGCTAGCTAAATGGCTAATCACTCAAGAGCAGCTGGTACTAGAGCTAAGGCGAAAGATACAGGTATTGTTCTCAGGATCTATGCTCTTACAGACACAAACATGTATTTTATGTGGAGTGGTGATTGAGCTCTATTGCCATGGAGACGGTGTGTAAAATGAATGGGAGGAAATGAAGGAAGAAGCGGGTAAAATTGCACCTGAGAGGGAAGACAACTTATTATGAGGCTCTAGAGTCTAAAATTGTGTGTTTGGGCACACATTTAAAGTAACCCTGCTAAAAAGTCCAGCTTCAACCAGCCTAGGCTGATTGGCTTGTTTTAGCTGGTTAAACAGCGTGGTTTTAGAGGGGTTTTGGCCATTTCTAGGCTGGTTTCCAGCCATTTCCAGCCTGTTCTTAGCTGGTCAGACTGGAAATTAACCAGCTAAATCCAGCTAAAACCAGCTTGACCAGCCTGGTTTAAGCTGGACATAGCTGGTTTTTGCTGGGCTCCCGGCCTGGGTAGGCTGGTCAAGCTGGTCTTAGCTGGTCATTTCCCAGCCTGACCAGCTAAGACCAGGCTCGAAATGGCTGGAAACCAGCCTGAAAATGGCCAAAACCCCTCTAAAACCAGCGTGGTTGACCAGCTAAAATCAGCCAACCAGCCTAGGCTGGTTTAATCTGTTTTTTCAGTAGGGAACACTCTACTTTTACAAGTCTCCTAACAGTTGAGTTTTATTTTTGAATCCATTCAGCCATTCTCCGGGTATGGTGGCATAGATATATACACTAGTTATCGCATACGAACCCTAAGTATGCCCTAATACCTCCACCGTATTTTTTCCCAGGACAAAAGTCATTAAACCACACTTAGTCAAGACCAAAGCCAATCTGAAGATGCTGGACTTTAGAGCTATGTACGGGTTTAGTAACAAGCTAACAAATAAGAAAACAAAGCATAAAGGCTTAACATTTAATAGGTACGATTTCGTTTTTTTATGATTTCATATGTTACGAACTTTTGTACAAACAAGTAACGTTATTGATGATAATAGAGTCACAACTGCACTGACCATAAGGCAAAGTAGCACCAACTTGCACTAAATTCTAGGCTTATGCTAGTTTTAGTCTAGTTCTAGGCTAAGTGAAGTAACGGCTAGTTTTTGAAGTTCCTAATAGCATAACAGTGCCTGAGCCTTAATGTGCATATTTTGCACCCTAAATTATTTAATATTAAAATGTTATATACCAATTACAGTAGAACAGAAAGGTGGATAATATGCAAACTGAGACGCAGGGATATCGATAGTTCACACAATTTGTTTATAACGAAGATTTATTCACAAACAAATCACTTCCTTCATTAGAATTAGAAGTGAAAGTGAGAGAGGGGGTGTGTTTCTAAACATGGATTAGATCAAATTTAACAGGGAGGCAGGATAATACATTTCTGTGCACAAACACACACTCTTGTCAGTAATGCCCATATGATCACTTATCCATCGATGTAGAAAAGCGATGTAAAATTATAAATTTCGTAACTTAAAAAAAAATGTTTGCATACTGATCCACCGTGAAAACCCGATCATAGATATACATATATATGTATATATCTATGGCTCTATGGTCCCACATTCACTTCAAAGAATGCTACCCTGTACCAACAGGGCAGCTCTATTGACGCATTCCTTCAAATAGACAACAATAGCATAGACTACATCTAATGTAAATATCTATGGTCTGGTGGCAGCACTTTAAGCTTAGCTTAGGCCCCATTTACACTAGTGCGTTTTAGTTTTAAAACGGCGTTTTAGAATGAAAATGATCCGCGTCCACACTTGCGTTTTACCCAGTGTTTCTGAACAGCTCTCCATCCACACCAAAACGCTGAAAACGCACATCACATGACCACACACACACACACTCTCGGGCAAGCGCTGCAGCCCATCTACCCAGATGAGAGCTGTGCTAGTCGGACTTCTCATCAAGCATCTCCCGCTGGATCTAATCTCACTATATTTATTAAACAGGATATTTCATTCATCTTGTTGTCTTTATCTAACGACATATTCCCTGACTTTGGTCATTGGAATCTATTACTTGTTCTCAGGTAACGTGTTTTGGCTGAGCGCAAAGATAAGGTAATGATTAATGTAACCACGTAGCCTAAATTCTGTATATTGACTGATCGCTTGCCTTTATTTCCTATAATGTATAAACTTATTGTATGTTATACTTTTATAATGGCTATTATCGAAAATTAAAACTGATATTCAAAAGTAAGGGTGTGTTTCGTATTTTAACTGAAATTGAAAGGAGGCAGTTGTTATAGGCTCCGTTTTGTTATTAATATCCACACGAGGAACATGACGCTCCTATATGCAGCACGACGCCTCAACATTTCTGCTGTCTGTTAAGTTGCTAATATTAAAATGAAAATAGGCAGTTCCTTAAATCATGTTTACATTTTATTGTTGAGAAAGTGAAACAACGTAGCCAGGGTGATGCGAATGAAGTTATAATGTTCCCTTTGAAGATTTACCCATGTCCTCGGTAAAGTCTGTTTTCCATATCAAACTGAGAAGAAGAGACTGCAGCCTTGATCAAACTTGCGAAGTCTGAACTTACAAGGAGAGGATGAAGGACTGAACTGTGTGTGTTAGGCTACTTAATATTGAGGAAAAGCCCAAATCAAATTTCTGCAGTCCCGCCTCCGTTTTCAGATGTCTCCGTTTTCCATCATCCACACTGAGACGGAGCAGCAGCGTTTTATAATGAAAACGGCCTCTCCAGCGTTTTCAAAACGCTCCTTTTCGGCGCTCGAGAACTCCGGCGTAGTGTGGACGGTTAGCGTAACCGTAGCAAAACTTATGCGTTTTCAAACTAAAACGCATTAGTGTAAACGGGGCCTTAGCTTAGTTGAGCATAGATCATTGAATGTTATTAGACAATTAGCATATTAAAAAGGTTTTAAATGGTTTAAAATGGCAGCAAAGTGATTGATGCTTTATTATTAATGAGTGTTTAGTCAATAGTTATATCGACGTATAGCAAATTTTCATTTTCCATCAGTAAATTTTTTAAAATAAGAGTTTTAATAACTTTCCTATTGAAAGCTTGACTATTCTGTATTTCCATTGTGTACTAAAACTCTTATTTTGAAGAATTTCAGCGAGATAATGGCGATCTACTTATGCTAAGCTAAAGGTACTCCCACCAGACCCGGTGATCGGCTGAATGGATTACAAAAATCGTAAAACTCAGCTATTTAACTCTAGGAGGCTTATGAAAAAAGCTCATATTCAGAACAAAAATAAATAAATCGCAGTGCTACTTTAAGGACTTTTTTTTAAGATATCAAAATCATTTAATCTATCCATCTATCAAAAGCTAAGGGACTTAATTGAAAAAGGGTGACAACTGAATAAATGATAAAAAAGCAGGGAATGGATTTCACTGTTGCTCCTCTAAGAGAGGTAAAGGGTGATATGAACACCTGTACACCACTGGCATCCAAAGCATGATTCTTCAATTTCATCATCATCATCGTCATCATAATCCTGTCAGAAAATGCCAGCAAGCAGGAAAAAAAGGTGGGTAAAAGAAGGATGGAGAGATTGAGAATGAAGATGTCACTGAATGGATGATGGTAATAATCTGATAAGGGAGACCAACTAAGCACCAATAAGTTAACAAATGAGACATTTTGGTCACTGCACACCAGGTGGCGATATATTACATGAATTGTAAACCATGCTAAGGCACTCTCAGTTAGCAGTGAGTTTTTTTCAAGTGCACATCGTCTTGATTGCAATGATTACTGTTCATTTCATAATGATACCCCAGCAAGGAATAAGCTATGAATATCTACTGTATATTTGTGCCAATCACATGAACAGAGTAGTGTTTCTGTTCATAAAAGCATCAAATTAAATGAAAGATTTAGTACAGGGATTGGCGAAACTATATGCTAAAAAATCTGTATAGACCGTTTTCAATTTTTGCTGGCCTCCTCTGCCTCTTTACAGTATTTTACAGTGCAGTGTTTACAGGGACAGTATAAATGAAATTATTTTTTAATGAAATAATGGAGAAAAGAGGGGGAAATGCTGCAAGCTAGGTTCAAACCCATATTAAACACATGAACACCAAGGCTCAGCATGTCAGGGCATGTGTATTAACCGCTCTACAGTACATAAATTAAACATTCTGGAGTTAAGATTTTAAATATTGAAGTGACAACCTTTGTTTATCTTTGGAACACAAATTAAGATACTTTAGCTTAAATCTTAGAGAATCATCCTCAACACAGATCAGCGTATCTTCTGTGTATCAATTGGAATATTAATCTACGAGAATATTTCAAGCAGTTTCCTTTCCACTGGGTCAGTATATAGCAGGGGTGCCAGCCCTCCATGACCGAATTTGGACACCCCTGGTATAGAGCATGCGTTCATAAGAGTATTGTTTGTGCCATGCTCGGTCACCTGCTGATATAAACCTCGGATGTCTTTTGTTTGTGTTTCAAACTGAGCAAACCTTATACTGATACTGAAGAGAAGAAAGTTATTGTTTTTGCATGTACACAATACATACTAAATACAAAAGTATTCAGACTGAATGAGTGAAGACACATGAACTGTTTTGATGATTTATATTTGGTTTCTGGAATTTGTCAGGACTCTTACTGTCTATGGAGGATCAGGCACCTCATAATTCATCTATTCATTTTCTTTTTGGCTTAGTCCCTTTATTAATCCAGTGTCGTCTCAGCGGAATGAACCGCTAACTTATCCAGCAAATGTTTTACGCAGCGGATGCCCTTCCAGCTGCAACCCATCTCTGGGAAACATCCATACACACTCATTCGCAGTCATACACTATGGACAATTTAGCCTACCCAATTCACCTAAGCGCAGGTCTTTGGACTGTGGGGGCAACCAGAGCACCCGGAGGAAAGCCATGCAAATGCAGGGAGAACATGCAAACTCCACACAGAAACACCAACTGACCCAGCTGATGCTCGAACCAGCGACCTTCTTGCTGTGAGGAGACAGCACTACCTACTTTGCCACTGCGTCGCCTACTTCAGAATTCATCCAAAAGTTAATTTGGGCTCTGAAGATGGGCAAAGGTCTTAAGGAATGATATGAGGGTGAGTACTTATTGACAGAATTATTTTATTTGATTAACTTTGGGGCACTTTGTAAAATTCCAGGCTTATTCTTATAATCAACAGCAAGCTCAGTTCAGATTTCTTTCCAGCTAATCAACAACCGAACAAAACAAAGTACCTGCTCTACATTTTTTTCATTTTCTATAATCTGTTTCACTCAGAATGTACAGCACAGTACGCAAGAAAAGCTACATCTGTCACATAGCAACTTTAAACACACAGAAAGCAGAGGCTGAAATGTCTTCCAGGACTTTGTCAGTACCTCAGCCTCCAGTGATTGTATCTCGCGTGGGAGCTCCACAGCATGACGGGTGAAATAATCCATTGTGATGGCATCGTTCCAGTAGCTCAAGTTGTTCTCCTGAGAAGCAGACTTCTTCTTTTTCCTCATACAGCATACGGTAAGCAGCACGGCTGAAGAGATGAAGAAACAGATTATTATTCCATATCTAACTCTTTTCCATGTAAGCTTTAGGACTTCATCAATCATTTCTGAATTTTGTGTTTTAGAAAGTTCACTAAGGCACAAAAGGGAATATTAAGCTATCCTGCCTCTTTGGAAAAAGTTTGTGTCAGTACTGGCAGAGAAAGTACAAGTTTTGAAAGCTGGAGGAAGTGTGATATTGGTTACTCACAGCATGTAGAGACAGGCACGCTAATGGCAAGAACCAACCACACAATGTCCATTTTGTCCAGGCAGATGGTGTTTTTTTCATGAGGAGGACCTAGTGCAGGACCTGACTGGTTTCCGGATCCCCATGGGCCTTGTGTGGTGGCTGGGACCTGCCTGTTCATGAAGCTCCCACTATCAGTGGAGGGCACCTCCGACATGTCCGAATCATTAGCTGCAGGCCGTAAAGAGTCAGTGCTGTTGAGAACATCTGTGGCATTAGTCGGGGAGATAAGAAATTCAACTGTCATGTTGGTTGTTCCATTGGTGCCAACTTCAACAGTGTTTGAACTCTCAGTGCTAATGTGGTTTGAAGGTGGGGCTAAAGCTGGAGGAGGAGACTGTATGTAAGTTTGTGCCAAAGCTCCTCCCACAGTGTCCAACGGTAGAGTGGGATTCTCTGTTATCGACAAACTACGCAATGTAATGGTGTGTTGCGCAGACACCTTGTTCACGTTCTGGCTTCTGTGGGCTTTGAAGAGTGAAAAGGATGAAGGTGATGATTGATGTTGAATGGGATCAATGGGTTTGCTCATCTTTTCAGTGTCTGCCACATCATGTTCAGTCCCTGAGACAAAAGAATGACCCGAACCAGAATTTGTGGCTCGCTGTCCACTGACCAAACCAGGAGTACTGATTTGATTTGTACGAAGCAAACCAGAGGGCTCGAATTGGTTCACTGGCTTTCTACTGATTGTACTCGGCTTATCTGTATTAGTGCTGAAGTTCTGGTCTTGGGTTCTAGTGCTGAAAACCTTAGAGTTTGTTCTACTGAATATGCTTCCAGGGGTCAGTTCGGGCACTTCTGCTTTATTGAGGGGGATTCCTGGTTGTGCCTGTTCTCTAGGAGCAAAGTGATGGACCCCTACTGTTGTTGTCTGAACTATGGCAGAAGGAACAGTGGTCTTCGGTGTCTGGAAAAAGTCAACAGCAGTGGGTCTTCGGATGGCTTCTAGAGAGGCCAGCGCCTGGTTGTGCAGATTCCCAGTACTGGAACCCTCCTGCCAGCTCAAGAGCCCTGGTGAAAGGGTTCTGCTGCTCGTGGACATGGAGACAAGGTCCCGAGGGGGTTGGCTGGGGTGAAGCTCCTCTGTGGAGAACACCAGCCCAGCTGGCACAAACAGAATCAGTAGAATGCCTGCAAACGGAAAAGCAGACGGTAAGTACTAATAATACACAAGTCATGCATTTATGCTAAACACTGAAGGCATATACAGCATGTACGGAACAAAGTCTCTTACATGACTTTTCTGAGATAAGCAGTATTAGTCAAGTTACTTAATTAGAGATTGAATGCTGATAAGGTTACTAAGCGCATCACTTATCGTCTTATGGTTCTAAATAGTGTATTATGACACGAGTGTATTAGTAAAGAAGCCATAAAACTGCTTTATGACACCTGATGATCAGAGTGAGGTCATTGTTTCATCTGAATGACATTGTAGTTGCCATAGAAACCAAGATTCAGCAGGAGGACGGTGAGTGATGAGAGAGCAACATCACAAATTATATCAAGAAGACATGGAACAATATTCAATACAAATGAAGTGAGTGTGATTGCTGTGTTTTGTAGGTTTTCAAAATGGGACTTTTAACTATAGATAACACACACAGAACCCTTTAATGCTTCTGTATTTATTCAGTTTATATTTTATGACAGTGTTTCATAATGACAAAAGATGAAATTTTACTTAAGGTGCAGTTATAGCTACCAACTGCACGGTATAACCTGTATTTGTAACAAACACTTTTCCACATGTACTGTAGTGCATTAGTTAACAATAAGAGCTGTGCATGCATAGAAGTTTAGTAAATCTGAAGCGTTCTACCAATCAAAAGCCACCAGTGGTGGAGTAAGCTGTGAAGAAAGAAAACAGACAGTATTTCATTCAAGCTCTGATGCTAATTCCTTATTTCCATATCAAACACAAGCATGCCCATGCTAGAAGCCTACATGACTGTGATGACAAAATGACCATGCTGATTTCAAAGTTGACTACTGCAGTATATAAGCATTGACAGTGCTTGCAGTGTCCTTTTTTTGGGGGGGAATCAAAAAAGCATTGCATCTCCTATCCAGTCTTACCAATCTAACACAACATTAATAAAACATCATCCTGTAAATAAAACATGAATCGCTGCTCATTTCACAACAAAGTGGCGCGTTTAGATCAGACACAAGCTTTCAAGCTTGCTCCCTATTGCACACATTCTCAACAGACTCCCAGAGCGTTTAACAAGCTGGGGATCTGAAGGTTCACACAGCAACTGAAATCTTCTGAAAATGAGCCTCCTAATTCAATGTAAACACACTGTAGTCCTATTAGCAAGCTATTTTGGATTAATTTACCAAATAAAAAACATTAGAATTGTCAAAATGGTTTAAAAATATATCTGATCTTTTTATTCACATACTTAGGGTTAATTATCTTGGTATTTTGAGATTCATCCCCTCATTGATATTGTATTTATACGATAATCGAAAATTATGTTAAATCAATTCAAGAGTTTACACAGGGCATGCTGTCCCTCCCATTTGCAGGGCGAGAGGGGAGTTTGAGCTCAGGTAGGTCTCGAGAACTCCCCTGCTTATTTATGGATAATGACAAATTAGGGATTGCTATGAAGAGATAAACTGCTTAATAAAACTGGTCAGCTATTGTGCCAATTTTGGTCAATTCACCTATGTCGCATGTCTTTGGACTGTTGGAGGAAACCTGAGAACCCAGGCGAAACCCATGCGAGCATGGGGAGAACAGGTAAAATCCGCACAAAATGTTGACTGGCCTGGAAAGGACTTGAACCAGGGACGTTCTTGCTGAGGCAACACTGCTAAGCCACTGTGCTGTAAAGTCGCTGTAATTCATTACAAACATGCACTGTTTGAAAAACGTTTTAAACTTGTAAAAACTCACTCTTGGTTACATTTGATGATAATCGATGATCACAGGGAGCTGTACAGATCTTTTATTTCCAATTGCTTTGCGCACATTAATCTGCATTAATACGAAGACATGTTAATGTGCGGCTATCAATCAATTTGGTGGGCAGGGAAACTGCACTCCTATGTCACGTTGCGGTCTGCCTCAAAACGGAAGGAATTTGGATCCTATTTTAACATCAGGAAATTTTTCAAAAGAGACGTATTTTGTTTATATCACTCCAGTATGACTGTGGACACTATCCGACTACCGACAGTTCTCTTCAAACAACATACAAAAGACGACTTTCATCATATAGGTGCTCTTTAAGAGGATTAAACATAAAACAATTAATTTGTCCCCAAAAACCAAAGAATTGTATTGTTTCAACTCATTTTAAATACGTATTTTGAACAACCAGCAAAAGTCATTATTAAGGGTATCTAAGGCTGCTTTATAAAAGACAAATAGGGTAGTGTGGTTTGACGTAAATATCTATTTATATCTATATTTCTAATTGATATTGTTTTTTGATCATGTTATATGTTATTTGATGTTATTCGAAGTCAAGAAATCCAAAATGCTTTAACTGCATATGTAGATCTATGTTTAATAACTGTCTACAGAAACATGCATTTACATAACAGCCAATTAATTGCAATGGATTTACCAACCTAGGCTCATTCTGAAAACGTAGCCCTGCGGACGTTTTTGGAGACCCCGATTTACATGGCCGGAGGTAAGTATGGCTGCAATTCGTTTTTTCAAGCGAACTCTAAGGGGCGGTGTGACGCCGCTCCTCTTCACCCTCGCCGGCTGACGGCTTACCTCCTCCGAGTGGGGGGTTTCCTGACCAGTTTGTCCAGTTAGCTTGTCGTGTTACTTCGACTGAGCGGAGGCCCGGAGGAGGAGCCGGCTGTGTTCGACGACTGGGCTCGAGTCCGTGGAAAAGCGGTTCCAGAAATCAGGTAAGACAAAAAACAATCCAAAAAATAAGCAATCGAGTTCGTAACGGGGTGAGAATGTGGTGAAATCCGAAAACGCAGTCAAAATCAGACGAGAGCTTTTCTTTTTCTGGACGGCTTTTGTAAATTGTCACTTGGGTTTAGGGAAGGAGGAGGAGGGTGGCTGGGATTGGCCAGCCGCCCAGTTAATTTTTCAGTCATTCAGTCAGTCAGTTAGTCGGACAGACAGTCGATTGACAGCGTCCTTCGGCGGCTTTTTACGTGAGAACAGCGTCAGCGAGAACGGCATGAGCTCGCGAGAGGCGTTCGAAATGCGAAAACAAAAACTGCACAAATACGTACCTCCCGGGACATATTTCGCGTTCTCCAGAAACGTCCGCGGGGCTATGTTTCCAGAATGAGCCTGGGTTGGGATTTACACTGTAAATTAGACCATAAATTACATGATTTACAGTGAGTTCTCAAAAGCGCAATAATTAATTACTGTTTTAATAATGAATATTTGATACGGTAATACCAGCTAAAAATGTTTTGTACTACTTAGTACATTGGATTACTTCCAGAGATAATAATGGCATCCAATTCGGTATCTGACAATTTCAGGCAGTTCCAGCAACTTTAGGTGAAAGTGTACTGTATATCAGACAATCTTTAAACAGGCTGTAGGTGTTCTGTCTCGCCTGTGATTGTTTAAATGGAATGATATTCCAACCTACAATGATACAAGAACATGTCCAACGTGGGTAAATCACGATAATCCACCAGTGACGTACAGTATGTGTGTGTTTTAGCTTGTGTTTGAATGAAAGTGAGAACGAAGCAGAGAAAAACATTTGTCATACTACTATTTTTTGCTTTTAAAAACACTGGCCTTTACCAAGGTTATCTCCCATCTATCAATGAATGACTCACTCTCTAGTGACATTTATGCTAGCACACACAAACACACACTCCTCACACTCCTCTGACTCACAGTGTAATAGTGAGGAGGAGGCAGAGGAGGACAGCACATAATACATCACAGCACTGGCTGAAAACACACATTATACTTCGCTAGATGAGCACTGGACCATACACGGTCTGTGGGTGTTACTTTACCTAAAGGCGCATGTGATGTCTATTAGGTTAATTTTCGTTAAATCTAACCGCTATTGTTACAAATTAATAGTTTGTTAATACATTAAACTGTTCTTGTACCTTATTTTAATTTACTGTTGATACTGGTACACTATTTGTACACGTTGATACTTTTTATGCACTTTGATTCATTTTACTATGACCCTTACACCACCACCAACAGCCTGAACTTTTGATACAAGGCAGGTTGGATCCATGCTTTCATGTTGTTGACACCAAATTCTGAAATCGAGACTCATCAGACCAGGCAACGTTTTCCAATTTTTTATTGTCCAGTTTTGGTAAGCCTGTGTAAATTGTAGCCTCAGTTTCCTGTTCTTAACTGACAGGAGTGGCACTTTGGTGTGGTCTTCTGCTGCTGTAGCAAATCTGCTTCAAGGTTCGATATGTTATGCCTTTAGAAATGCTTTTCTGCATACCTCAGTTTTTATTTGAGTTGCTGTTGCCTTTCTATCAGCTCGAACCAGCCTGGACATTCTCCTCTGACCTCTGGCATCAGCAAGGCATTTGCGCTCACTGGTTATTTTCTCTTATTTTGACCATTTTCTGTCAACCCTAGAGATGGTTGTGCATGAAAATCCCAGTAGATCGTCAGTTTCTGAAATACTCAGACCAGTCTATCTGGCACAAACAACCATGTCACATTTAAAGTCACTTAAATCACCTTTCTTCCCCATTCTGATGCTTAGTTTGAACTGCAGCAGATCACCTTGACCATGTCTACATGCCTAAATGCATTGAGTTGCTGGCATGTGATTGACTGATTAGAAATTTGCATTAACGAGCAGTTGGACGGGTGTAGCTACTGTAATAAAGTGGCAGGTGAGTGTATCCTATATGTTTCTGAACACTCCAACAGCCCTGCGCTGCAAAGATGGAGCGCTTTTCAATGTGTTGTGCTGCTTGAATGTAGTGCTAAACACAACAACAATGGCGGCTAAGAGAGAAGAACAGTTTCATAAATATCTGACAAACAGCCTTCTGCTTGCTGTGGAGAAGTACCACCACGACACATCACATTGCTTTTTATTTGCGTTGGACAAACCCAAAATGGAACAGCTTTTAGAAATTAATCAGATGTAGAGCGATGCGGTTGTGCTTTGTCAACTGGTGTT